GTGCCAAACATATCCGTCTATTTGTTGTACTTCATAGTCATCAAAACATTTATTGAAAAACTTTTAATTGAAGTTCAGTGTCGAGGATCTCAAGCACTTCATGCAGAACCCGTAAAAATTGGGATGGAATTTCAATGTAAAACACGTCTATAGGATCGTGCCAATATAATTGTTGGGGTTGGTGTACATATTTTACGAAATGCTTCGAAGCGTGAATATTCGGATAGAAACAAAAATAGTAGGTGCGATGACTTAGTGAAGAATTAATACACTTCATATTTCCACGGAAGCAGGTATTAGAAGCAATACGTCGATCGGACTTGTCACTTATTTTTATATTTTATATAGTGATGTTATTCATCATTGATTAAATTCTTATCTTTTTCTCATATGTGAAATTGCATGATCACGATGCAATAGTACGAAAGCCCTCTCTATTTTATAGTCGTGAATTGCGAACGGCCAAAGTTTATTTCAAAATTTATATGTGAATAACAACACACTGTAGCTTCATTTCTACAATATACAGCGGCCGTCATAAGTCTCGCCCCACTTTCTTGTTTTTGGCGGTAGAACCCAACAGTACGACATTTTCCTAATTCTTTTTTTTTCGATAGAAGAGTTCGAGTACTACATATATGTATGCGAATATAATACGAAAAACTCTTGAATGTGATATACATAAAAACAAACGAACTTCAGTACCAACGAAAAGAAAACACAAAAAAAGACAATATGATAATGAAAATATTAGGAATACTTTTTCCTTTTGCAATAGGACTTGTTTATACAGATTTTGTAGAGCTTTTCGCAGTGTATCTTTTAAAATAAAAATCTAACATTTCATTATCTACCTGTGGAGATATATTTTCGTAATAAACTATGTTGCACACATATTTGGACAGGCAATATTTCGTAGTGTTTAGTATTTTGACTATAAAACCACCATTTCTCATTGAAATCCAAAATGTTTTCTCATCAAAAGAATCAGTAAAAAAAGCTTTACAAAAGCTGATAAAATGAAAAGTTTTCTAAATGCTTTCTGTTTTTTGTGGTTTACTAATCATGGAAGTATCGTATGACACCAACATCACATTGTCTTTTTTTGTGTTGTATTTTTCTTAGTATTGAAGTTTGTCTGTTTTTATGTATTTCATATTCAAGTGTTCGCTTGCGATCCTCACTTCATTGATCAATTTGAGAAAAATGTGAGAATGAGACAGATCATTATTCATAAAACTTCACCTGAGCCAATCAAGCGGATGCAACTCTGAGGATAGTTCTTATTAATTATTAACTCATTATCAACTCTTGATATTGCCTATAGAACTTGATCAAAACTACTTCAGCGCGGCAAAATTGAGAATGAATTTGAGTGTAATTAATTCGTTATTATTTCAACGCCCTTTAAAAGTGTTTCTAAGGCCTTTCTCGAAATGGCTTTAGCCATCATTTTCGACATTCCAAAAGTCTTCATCTCATCGAATAACCTATGCTCCCCCTTCAAGTATGCTTCTACGCTCCTTTTAGAGCTGTTCGCAAGTCACCCTAGAATTCGAAAAATGATATCCCCATATAGGAAGATCACAAAAGCACTCATTTTACTAGCAGATACGCTCTGATATCCCACCAACTAGTACATGCATTTAAATTAGTCTAAACAACAGGAAAGGCTTTTTCCAAGAAAAAGGGTCTTTTTAAGAATTTTTGATCGGAAAAAAGGCCCTTTGCTAATTGAAAGGAATTCTGTAAGGTACTGCGTATTTGAAAGTTCCTTTCAAAGGTGTTAAAAGCTGAAAACACGCTTTTAAGGGCTTTCTAAGGGCCTTCTGACTTTTTCCTCCGATTGGCTTTTGCTCGCGTTCTTGATATCACAAAAATCTTCATCTCATGTAATAACGTATGCTCTGACCTTCACCTATACTTCCACGGTGAATTTGTGGGAGCTAGGTGGTCACTGCAGAATTTGAAAAATGATATCCCCACATAGGGAGATCCCAAATAAACTAATTTTTACGGGCCGTGAAGGAGTTGAAATATGATTCTAAAGGCAGTGTCACCCACTTGAAGATGCCACAGGGGTGCCTATGTGATATTTCTCCATTATGATTAATTATAACGTAGTAAAACGACTTCTAAAGGAAGAAGGGCTTTGTGAACGTGTATGGATAGTGTTGTAAAGCAGTTATTTTTAAGTGAAAATTGGTTTATCCTAATGTGAGAGTCGGTTTCGGAGCAGTTGTTTATAGATTTCTAAGTTTTGCATAGGGTTATATAATAAGTTGGAAACATTTTTTTTTGGTTCCGAAAAGGGTATTTAAAGGGTTTGTTGGATATGTTTGGGAAAGCATTTTTTCAATCGAAATGTGTGGATTGCCGTAAGGGAGGGTCTTTGAAGTCCTTCTATTGAAGTACACGTCTTTGCAGGTCGCTGGTATATATCAAAAAACACTTTTTTTTAGAAAAGGCTTTCGTTAAGCCTCTGAAAATGTGGGTTTAAAAGAGCTCTTCAAAGGCTTTGCTTGAAGAAGGTCTTTCAAAGGTCTTTTCTAAAAAAAAGCCTTTCGGAGAAGCTAGGGACTACCGTGAAAAACGACCGGAAACGTTGGATTTCACGGCTGTAATGCAGCACTTATTTCGCCGTAAACTGTTGAAGTATACGATCGTTTACAGTACGGCCATAAACGGCACCTACCCAACGGGCGATTTACAGGTCGTTTATGGTCGTCGTTTTGCTCGACCTGGGTATTATTGTCTTGATAAAAATTGATTCTAAAAACTATGAAAATGCTTCTATAAATATGTTGTGGTTCTTCCAAAAGCATTTAAATAAAGCGAATATGAGATAACCGTTGCACCACACTTGGTTCTGAACTAAGCTTTAATCTAAATGATATCAGCTAACTGATTCAAATCCTGAGGTTAGTTTCAATAGACTGAAAGATAGAAGCAGAACATTTGCATATTTATTTGCTTGAACAGAAATATTGAATAGTTTGATATTCGGTTTCTTTTACAACAAAACTGAGAGAGTCGTTGAATATAAATATCTAATATTAGATATCTGTTGAAAAATAAAGTTTTGTCAGCGAGAAGGTAAATATCTGATATCTGATGTCTGCTGTACATTAAAAGTTATAAGATAAATAGTTCTAATTGAAAGTATTGAAAATTTTCACAATTCGAAATCATAAGAATTTTGACATGCTGATTCTAAAATTAGTTATGATTTTAGATTTGCCACTTTATGACATCGACATATTTTTTTCTATCTATATGAGAATTATTCTAGGCACGATGTCTCAAATTGAATATGATTAATACAATTGTCTGACAACGAACAATTCCATCGATTTTTTGAAAAATTTGATTATGATTATGCTTATTAATTTTGAAGTAGAATTTAGAGCTCGGATTGTAACTATCAGTTATTGTAACCTTTGCTAAATTCGAAATCATTCCACAGCTGTAGAGAAATCTAATATTGATCAGTAAACAATATTCTGAAGAGAATCAAATTAACTCAAGTGTTCTTATCTTCTCATCGAGTCGCCTTAAACGATACGTAGAATTAATCATTTCTAAATTTTATTACAGCTACAATCGATGAATTAGTTATTGAAATCAGAACACTTTTTAGACGTCACGATTTATCAAATTGTTTTCTATCAAAAATACTTTTATCCAATCATGTCTTTGATTTTGCATTAGTCATCCATAACCAAAGTGGCAATTGAAAAATTCACCAATCAAAAAGTTTACGATGATCTCTAGCTCTACATCTATCACATCAATCAGTCGCAACTTGCAAGACGATGATCAAATTACATTTCTCTCTCTATGTACATAGCATTGACCAACGAAAAAGCTGGGGCATTTTTCTCGCTCTCTCTTTCTCTTCTCTTAATTTATTCATGAGTGAGTACGCACATACACACATTGATCTTGGTATAGACAAGACATCGACCATTCGATTGTAATTCCTCTTCTGTTCTGTTGAATAGATGTTGTTTAGCAGGGTTGAAAAAAATCAGCCGATAAGGTAAGTAGATATTTCTCAATAGCATGTCTCATTAATAGCAGAATTCCAACAGTTCTCAAGATTACCATACAAAAGTTATCCAGCTGAGATGCGATAAGTACTAATTCTCTGTTTTGCTCTAGTTCAAATGTAGTCTCTCTTTATGTTCGAATCGCGTTATTGACCATTAATTTCTCGTTAGTGCTCATTCATAACAACGTTCTCTGGTGATCGTAACCTCAGCTGTTGTTTCATGTTCCGTTCTCTTTGTCTTGAAGACGTGTCCGCTGGTTCTTTTTTTGTATGGATATTCTCACATACAGAAAGAAAGAAATATTGAACCTTTTGCTTTTCGCACTAGTCAATGTTTGATTGCTTCTTCTTTTGTGTACACTTATGAGAGCAAACCAAATCTTTAATTTCATGTGCGATATTTTGCTGTGTTTTTTGTTTTGCAAACATATATGACCCGTTACTAAAAATTTAGATGAGAAATATTCACCTTTTGTTTTATGTCTACTATCAAATTATAGTAATTCATCGGTGAGCACGTTCATCTGTTTTTCTCGCTGACCTTTACATTTTCATATTTCAATTAGTGTTTGTTGTTGTTTTCTTTTTGCTTTCGACAAGCCATATGTGATGCATCACGATAATGATGATTGTCATGATTGATGAGTATCTTCTTTTTCAGATGGATAAAATCGTTATTGAAACGTCTTTTGCTAATTCTCTATTCAAATGTTCACTCTGTAATGGACTCATCCATTTAGCTACAGTTATTAATGAGTGTTTTCATCGTTGTAAGTTTAGTTTATATGCGATGAAAATCGGCAATTATCTACCATATGTTTTAGTTTGCAAATTATGTATAGTAAATTATTTCGAAAAAAATCACAATGCTTGTCCAACGTGTCAAATCATTATTGTTAATCCATTACAAACACTAAAGTATGTGTGTGTTCATAGTAAATATTTTTTCGAAGACTCGTTCTTTTTTTTTTTTATAGATTTGATCTTACTTTTCAACGATTATTATATAAACTCTATTCAAGTAAGATAATAATAAAAAAACTTTATTCTTCTATTTACGGAGCTCTTCTTTTCGTGAAGAAATGAAACACATTGTTTCGATTCAAAAGTGATCAATCAGTAAAAAAAATAGCCTCTCACTGCTTTTGTATTACTATCTTTACGAACTCATCTATCATTCATATAATTATCCAGTCATTCTCTATTATATATTTAGGTGAAATCGCGTGTAAATCATCTCTATTACCAACGAATGGTAAGTCAAGTAAATGCCTACGGCAATGTTTTTTCCTACTGTTTATTGCCTATTATAGAATCGACTCGTATTCAGATCGAAACAAAGATTAGTGTTTATTTGGAATATTGGGATATGTAAGTTCTCAATTATTAATTAACATAATAGAATTAGATTCGTCCCGAATTTAAACGCAATGCATGTATTTCCGTCGGCTATGTCGATAGTTAATGAATTTCCTTTGCCATGTCTAAAAAACATTTGAATAGCCTTTGGCTAATTTCGATTCATTGGCTAGTTCAACTTTTCTTTTTCTAGTTCATTGGATCTATTTCCGAATGAATCACGAACAATACTATCAAAGTGTTATTTACAATGCCAAGCTGGTACATCATTAGTAGCTATTGAAAAATTTCTTCGTATTAAACATTCATTATCATCAACGATGAAAGTAAAATCGTTCAGATTTTTGCTTTTGTATATTAATCAATCTTTTTTTTTCTTGTTTGATTCAGATCGATCTTTTTTATGAGTCATTTCTGTTGGATATTGATAGCGAACGTCTAATTGATATTTGTTATTGTTTTGATACAACGAATAAAGTAAAGTTTCTTCATCTCGATGATTAATAAACAAAAGTTTTCATCGTTTAGAATTCATCGCTCGTTATTCGATTTACTGTGAGTCCGTATGGTTATCAAGCAATAATGAAACGTATTCGCCAATCAAAACAGCCAACGCCATTAAAAATTGATGTATTAGAACCTATCGCTAATTCATCGTTATCTTCTACGAGTTCCGTTGATTCAAAACTGAAAGTAAAACTATGTCGATCACAAAGTTCAACGAATGATTGGTACATATCGCAATCGAAAACGCCCAGTGAACTTCCTGATCTGATTAATTCATGTGAAAATCGAACAGATCATAAACCAATATCATTAAAAAAGAAAACAATCTTAAACAAACCTCGACGACGACGTATACGTTTTATTCCAACGATGGTTAGAGTCCCACCATCAATATTTGATCGTCTTTCGAATAAACAATATGATTTCGATATATTTCAATCAAATGAAATGGACGTCGACAATAATCTAACAGACATATTCGATGATGTTCAACAAACATCGTCCAACCAAAAAACTGTTTGTAAAGTTCCACCCTATACGCCTGAAACTTCTTCATTCTATGACAATGCACCACTTGATTTAAGTTTAAAATGAATGAGTAGTATGTCATGATATAGCTATACGTTTATTCTATTTTTCTGAACAGTGATTGATCGAGTGTATAATGAATTTTGTTTTTCTGTATCCATCATTTGTTTTGTGTGTGTATATATATATTTATTTATAAACGAGTTGAAAGAAGACAGCCGTGATATTTATTCAATGATATTGCTTATACACGTGCGGTACGATTATGATGATGAACACAAAGGTAAGAAGAAAAAGCGCATTTCCGATCTTAGACAAACATAATTGTTTACTTGTTACTCTATCTAGAAGATGCGGAGAACGTCATTCATTATCAATGAGTTAGAATTTTGTTCGCATTGAATATAGAACTATACAAAAGAGAGACATCAAAGAAATAATTTGACGTTTTTCGCTTCAACACTTATCTCTAGATGTACACATAAGTTAGAAGATGTTACTTTTATTGACGATCTGTATCGTGTCATTTTATTAGCTAGTCAATTGAAGGGTGAAGACCATAAAAAAAGAATAGTGATAGACGAAATATAATCTGATAAAGAACATTGATCGCTCGAATTATATTTTGATACGTTGTTGACAGAAAGAATAAGAACGACACATGGAAAGAATATAAAATGAGACGAAAAAAAAAACAAAATAGATCTACTTTTTAACGGGTGTTTTCTTAACAAATCACACACAGATGTAAATCAATATAAGGGATGATTTTTAATTTTTTCGATGAAAGGATATTTCAATAGACAATCAGTATTTTGTTTTCTGCGAGAGATACCATCATATAGATCGGTTTGATTTTTGTATGAAGCCAAAATATAAGGTTATCACAATGAAAAGATATTAGAAGGAATAGACATGTTGTTTACTTCTTTTTCTGTGTACTTAAAAAAAGTGAGAACACTAGATTCGGTCAGTGTGTCCGTCCGACCGTTAACACGATAACTCTTGAAAGTCTCATCCAATTGTCATGAAATTTTGTACACAAAATGATCTCATCAATATCTCAGTCGAGTTCGAAGATGAGAAGGATCCGTCAAGAAATAGCTGAGTTATCGAAAAAATTGTCAGTATTGGCCAGGCCATCCCTAAGGGGGGGGGTACAGGGATTTTTTCAAAAAAAAATTTTTTTCTCAGAATTATTCATAACATATATAAATCGACTCAGTTTTTGCAGTACACATAACAATCGGATGCGAATCCGAATGTTTCCGCATTTATTTATGATTGATATTCTCTTAGAATAGCCTGTCGATGAATTTGAGAGAAAAAGAAACGTTAGAATAATCGATATGGAATTACAATAAGAAATCTGATGAAGTTGCTATTAAGAATCACAGGAAGATTAATTTATTCGATTCATGTGTGCCCTTTGATATTAGCCAGAATTCGAAGTATTTGATCTCTATACTTCAGGAGACTTCCATACTCTGGAGCGTGAGTTAGAAATTCTACAACATTTTCTCTGAATATTTCTAGGCAGCAGTCATCGGCTAACTAATGCTTTTTATTTGTGATTGAACACATAAAGAATAAAGTTCTGTGCTATAACATATCGCTTGTTGTACCACCTAATATATAGAAAAGAGAAGTTTTAAAAGATAGATTTTTTTATTATCTGTACATGAGCATCTCTTGTCTAACTATGCATGGTTCGAAAATAAAAAAATTAATATTCATCAGATAAAGTTCGTATAATTAAATTCATTAGTGAATATTTAAATGCTTGTTTTTGAACAAAATACGGTATCCATGGTTGCATAAAATAACGTGCTGTCATACCATTAAATATAAATGTGAGTAGAAAACTGACTGATTTTGGGATATTCACTCCACGAAATTGACGTTTAAGGATGTGTTCAATACAAACAGCTAAACCTTGGAGAAGGAAAAATGTTATTTGACTGCCAGTGAAGCTTTTAGAAGTTACATAAATAGAATATTCATGCACAATACCAGAGAACAAGAAAATGCACAGACATGAAATACCATTGACAATAAACTTCGGTGTATTCGGCCAACAATAAATAATAAATCTTGTTGTTGGTTTAAAGATGAGTTCAATCCAAGTATCTTTGTATCTATATAATGATAGAATGGTTGATTTATGAGTTAGTTCATAAATATTATTTTCATGCGATCTGAATCCTTTTTCAGTTTTCTGTTTGACTGATCGTTTTTGCTACAGTCGACACTCAAGAAGCTCGCATTCTAGCGAAAGCATTTAAAACAATGACTAAACTACCATCGTACTCGATACTGAGAAATGTACATTTTCGATCAAATTCTTCATTTAGAATTAGCAGCGCAGCCGCAAAAAAACGCTGCATTGAATCCGAGATTTTTTTCAATGAGTAACCATTCCGTAAAACAGCCATGAAAAGGAATACAAATTTGCCTATTAAAAAAAATCAACGGAGGGGGGGGGGCACTTTCTGTATAAATCAGTACAATGATCCGACTTTTTTTCGAAGTTTTGAATAACATATGATTGGTATTATACGTGAGCGATAATTATAATTCGTTAAGAATAACGTTTGCTCATGCTGTTTTTAAAGTCTTTCTCTATTTGGCAAATATGAATAATACACCGGACAGAAAATATGTTCATTTTCTTTATCACTTACATTTGATGCCATCTTGACCAGAAATCCGAAGGTGATTTTGCTAGATAGGGCTGTTGAAATAGTTCAGGCATTAATTTAAGTGGCCGATTCAATATTAAACAAAGTGCATAACGAAGTATATCATAATTCATCATAAAAAAATAATACACCATGCAACCACTCAATTGGTTGATAATAATTTGTATTAGTAAAACTTTTTCATAATAATTGTGATAAAAATCGATACTAAAAACTTGATTGACAATAAAAATAGTCAGATCAATAAGTAGATAGTATTGAATTATTTTACATGATAGATATACTAATGATTTAAATTGTTTATCGAATTGTATCGACCCCGTGAAGATAATTTCTTTTTTAATTTTTTTTTTCTTAATTTTCTTTACACTTATCGGTAATGTATAAACACGATAATAGAATAATTCATGTTGAATATCAAAAAATGACCAGTAATTAAATTCTTTTCGTCGAACCAACAGCCATTCACAGACTTTTTGTGCATAATAAACTGCAACACTTGCAATACATGTGCTATACACTGGTATCGAACAAAATGGTTGACAACATGGAATAAATAGAAGATAGACAACAATGGGAATCGTAAGAATCCATTTGGATATTTTTGTAATCCAAAAGTTGAATATTGAAAGAAGAAAAATTGGAAAATAAAGAGCTACTAACGCTAAACTTGCAGGCAAATAAATTTGTTGCACATCATCAATCGTAAAAAGTAGAAAGGTATTCAGCTGCTGTGAATAGTCCATGTGTGATTTGATGTTTGTCATCGAGCCTATGCAACAAAATAAAAACATTCGAAAGAGAAAAGAAAAAAAGCGTCGTTTTGCGTCATTATTCTCCTTCATAATATTTGTATGTGAGAAATAACAGGCGTAGCGTTATATACTACGATGTAAAATTCATAAATAATACATTTAGCTTTAGAAGAAGACTAGGCCAGAGAAAGGGCGTTAGCCGCTATGAACATTTTTGGGAAATGTGAAGAAAAATAAATGATTATCAAAATCTCGATTCTCGAGAAGATCAATAATCACCTTCGAATATTCCTTTCGGAAATAGACATTAACTCTCCTGAATATAATTTGAAAAAATACAAGATAATTCGAAGGATTGGATCATTTTAAAATCATCTTTCACTAGTTGATATTTTTCTTCGTGAAAACATTAAAACTATATTTTTTTTAAAAACATTTTAAAATATCAATGACATTAAATGATGAATTAACAACAAAAACACAAGAGAATATTTCTAGGCTGAAATCAGAACGTCTCCATTTTGTAAATGTGTGACTGTCGGTAAATGATTACGTCTTTTTGTATTATTATTATTATTATTATTATTATTATCGTATTTATTTGTTGTTAATAATCCATGATCGGTGTATTTATTATTACATGACAATGACGGTGATTTTATCTGTAATGGTGCTCGTCGTTGTATTCTTTCGAGTCCTTGATATTGTCGATGGAAACGAGGTGATAAATTTGATTGCGGAACAATACCATGTAGAAATGTTGGTCGTGTGATTAAATAATTCTCGTAGCGTCGTGAATAATCTGTTGATATAATGGGTAATTGTTGAAACTGATAGATTTCATTGGAGAAATCTGTTGATATAGCTGTTGATGTTGATTGTGCAAATGATGACGATGAAACTTTATCTTCTGATGATGATGATAAACGACAACGATGCGTTTTAATAAGCATTGCAATAATAAATATAATAAGAATAAAACATAATAGAGTAACGATAGTTATTATTATTAAAATAGATACAAAACTCGTTGTTAATGGAATCGTTTCGTTTTTTGGCGAAGAAAATAAATTAATCATAGATGCTGTTGTAGAAATAACGGTTTCGTTTCGTACGATGTCATATTTTTTTCGAAATATTGTTAGTGGTCGGCATTGATTATCATCACAAATAGTTCCTAGAAAAAGTCGACTTAGACACGAAAAAGAATTTAAAAATTTAGTTCACCTGTTGGACATTTTCGTATAGTTGTTCCGATTGTATCTTCATCATCAAATCGACATTTTCCAGTTGGCTCTAATTCGCAATCGAAAACTCCATTAATTTTTCTCACCTTACGCGTATGCGGCGGACAAATACAATGCGATGTTTTACTTTCATCACACCATTGCAAGCAACGCTGCGGAAATTTTGAGCAATTACTTCGATCGATTGCATCGGTACATACACGGCCTATATTTGGTATATCAATTCGAGTTATGTTCTCATTAAAGCATTGGCATGTTTGTGAGATTTGATCGCAATAGATCAGATCGTTTGTAGAATATCGATTACTACAATCTGCATTCGAGTAACATTTCGTTCCAATGGACTTTTCAAAATCTATTTTGAAATTAAATGTTTCATTCGATGCTGTTAAATAAACAAGTTGCTTCGAACAGTCGTATGCTTTACAGGAGCGAAGAGTTATTTCTCCTAAAGATAAACATATACTCTCGCTCAATAGTGAAAATTATGTAAACGAACCTGGCTGTAAGAATAGTACAGATTGCATACCGAGATTAGTAACATTAATAACACTCAATTGAGTGGTCATATATTCCGCGATCGATGATGATCTACTTGTGTGTTTATGCTGTCGCATAGTATATTGACATTCTGTAAATGTCAAATTAACAGGTTGATGCGAACATTTGAGTAACAAGGGCAAAAGTAACATCCATCGATTACCCAAATTATAAATCAGCGTATTCGTAATATGATTTTCCGTGTGATTATTATTATTAAAAGAATAGTGACCAATAAAATCAATTGAATTTGAATTAAAAATATGTGCACCAAGCGATATGTATAAACTCGTATCAAATACACAATCAGCTAATATAACAGATGTACGAATATATGGACAAGTAGCCACTATCTGGCTCACAATAATGAACGAATAAACAAAGCAAAATCGAATAATAAACATGTCATGGCATGTGTATGATCATTCTATCGACGTCATTATCTAAAAAATAAATCGAAAGATCAATCGAAAATTCTTTAAACGCTATAGTCTACCCTATTGGTGGTCATTGTCAATCATACTAACGTACAAATAATAAGCCGACTTACCCACTGTGTAGATATATATTGGATATTTGAGTAAAAACAAAAAAAGGAGCCGTCAATATAATTGGAACAGTATGGGCGTCACTCTGTCGCGCAGTCAGTCTCCTCCTTTTATGGCAATCAGCAAACTATCGATGTGGCGACTGTTTCTCATCAAGTGAACATATACATAAGTGCATAGGAAGGGAACGAAGCGGTTCGATTCTCTTTTTTTTATGCTTACACTACTGTTGAGACTGACATGCACGGAATTTAACGTCGTTGATGCCATATATATGTGCATATATATATATATATATATATATGTGATACAACTTTCGCTTGCACGTTTCTTAAATAAATAAATCGTCATTTTACCAAGGGTACACTTGAAAAATTATGTATTTCAAATTCAATTAGTTTGTATTATTGAAATGTATTTGCATCGTTTAGTAGAGTTCTTTTAAAACCAACGTATCATAAGTAAATCAATGTCAAGCAGACACAGATGGTTGTCAAATTAAATTAAAGTGTTCATATATCAAAATAATAATGATAATTCAAGCCAGATAAAACGAATTTATGGTCTCTCTATTGGTGCGCATAACTTGCAACAAGTCAATATAATAACGATTGCCGGGATAATCGTCTCGAGTTTCTAGTCTCATTCATTCTCGTCTTTATTATTTGCGTCATACAAATTCACACACGAACAAATGACTCTCTCTCGTCTTCTCTTTCACAAATGCAAGTATTGTTTGTACAAATCAAATGACAGATAATCATTTCGTGATGCATAAATGCACGCACAAGCTTTCGAATTCTTTTTTTTTCTCTTCACATTAATAACAACTCGTTTATCCATTTTGAACAAATGTTTTTTTTTACCTGCCGCCTTGTCGTTGTCGACGGAAGAAATTGTGTACATCTGTTCTTTTTCTCTATGTCGCCGATGGCAATAAAAAAAAACTCAAATGAACAGCACCATTTTTACGCGAATAATGTCGGTGATTGACAGCTGTGATATTATATGACGACATGAATATACGGTATTATATTGGTGCTTTGTCAGTGATGGCACATCACATTATACGCTCTTTTACTATTAGATGTATCGCCTCAAGACACTTCGCAACATAGATACCCATTGATTATATAAGAATAAGAACAACAACATTTACGCGAATGATCACTTCTAATAAGATTGATTTCGAACATGAACAAATAAACATTTCCCTATGATTCACATATGCAGATGAGTTCGAGATCAAATGAAAATATGATTTATTGGCGTTTAATTTGTCATCTTTAGGTTTCTGTTCGGGAGAAAAATTATTCATTGTGTGCTCAATGAATGATCGCATCGCCTTTAATCTTATCAGATGTGTGCAACATGTTTCTGTGTTCTCTTTCATCAAGAGTAATCTAAGCAAAATTTCTCTCATTTCAAGATCAAACAGTAGCGTGTTCGTTTTTTTTTTTGTTACGCTAGAATAGTAATAGTTACTTATACAAATGACTCGATGTAATTTGTTCTCTCGAGATATTGAATGATCTTTTTATCACCAAGGAAAGTAGCTAGATATGTTGCTAATCGATATTATTACAACATTTTTCTTTGTGAATGAGCGAAATGTCAATGATAAGAAGCATCTATTGCCATCAGAAATGTGCAAAATCGATTCAAGACATTAGCATTTTCTTACTAGAGAGCGAGAAGAAACAACACGACACACATAAGAGCCGCCGTTCGAACATGTTGATTTCGCACCTGACAATTGTTTTTGCATAGGAACTTGTTTATTGATATCAATTATTGTGTTGGTGTGAAGATGTAATCGATTACTTGAAAGTGTCTTTGTTCAATATTCGTGACGGAGAAGTCATTTAAGTTTACATGAATTTCTCGAGCTGCTTAAAGTGTGCTCATCGGACAGACTTCAAAGGGATTCAATGATTTTTGTATGCATTACTCACAAGAATATACTACAAAACTTTGATATGAAACGAAAAGACAAGGTTCAAGTTTTTTTTTATTGATAATACAGCAAAAGACGTTCCTTTCTATTTCTTGAAAATATGATTAGTGTAAAAATTATGGCATCTATAATTGTTGCGAAAGATTTTATTCATTGACGTTTGCCGTGTGCGTGTGTTTGCTCAGCGCGATGCGCAAGTCAAGTCAATACGATGGATACACTTATGTGTCTTATTCTTGTCTAACTAAAGCAAACTATTAGAATAGAACTACTTTCATGTGCTTCACATAACGAGTGACTAAATAATAGTGTAGAGTCATTATTTGACTTGGCTTGAAAATTTACCGGTGACTAATGATTCGTTCATCGCTGTATTTATGATGCGATTATTTTTTTTTTCTTGTTCTGATTTGCAACTGCATTGTGTTTTATTCGAATAAGTCGAAGAGACTTTTTTATTTTATTTAACAAAATGAAAGCACATGTTTTCCGTTGTTTTCTTGTACAATATACAATTTATTCATGCGTCATCTGTATCAGTACCGAGAATAAGCGCACGTTGATATGTATTAAATTTTTTCAACGATACTGTCGGCAAATCACCAGGCTCGCCTAAAAAGTTCGAATTCGAATTCAATGTTCTTTTTTTCTATTTATAACTTACGCGTTTGTTGTAATTCAGTACTCCAATGTGTCAATGTACAATTATTTTCTACTATTGATTTTCGTTGTTTTCGAAACTGTTCAAGTGTATAATCGCGTATGAATACCGGCGGACTCATGCTCACATACGCAGCAATTCGTAAGAAATCTACAGGTTCGTCATCACGTCGTTCTTGAATTGCGAATGCAGGCGAATTACAATGTACGAGACGACTATCCCATAGAACGAGATCACCTGCTTGACACTGAACAAGTTTTCCGATAGCTTGGCCATTGTCTAAAATTCGATGATCTCGGGGTATCATCACGAAATCTCTTTTTCCGCGAGTAAGTGTAGCTAATTCTGCAAAACGTAAATGTGAATTCGGAATAGCTATAAAACCGCCGGTGTTCTCATTTTGATTTGTCAATGAAACAAAGCCTTGTATACAACATCGATCGGGTTTGCACACAGGATTTTGATCAACATGAAACCATCCGCCTTTCGTTTTCCATGTGGCATCATAACGCCAATCACGAAAAATACCACAACCATCAAACGAAACTAATAATTGATTTGTATTCCATATCTGAGAAAAGACTCGTTTTACATTTGGATTCGAACGAATATTCCACATAAAATCAGATTGACCAATACCGCAGTTATTTACAACACCATGAGTAGTAAAACCTGGCCTGAAAGTAAAGAAAGAATATTAAGTAAAAATGTTCGCTATTTATATGCTAACCAATAATTTGACCACGTTGAAGGATCTCTACGTTGAATTCGGCATCCGGGAATATTTTCAAAAAATTGCCATAATAAATCTATATTAGTGTTTATCTCATCTTGAGATAAAACATCACGGAAAATTGCATAGCCATGATTATTTAAATAAGCAATACCATTGTTAAAACTTTCATTATCGTCGATTGAAAAACGTGGCGTTAATGTTGTATGATCAATACGTAAAAAATTACATTTGGAATAAGTGCATGACGCAGCCATAGTTTTATTTTTCTTGCGTGAAAGATGGAGAAACTTGAGTTACACGAGTATATTAGTCAGTGAATCGGTGATGCAATTACTTTTTAAGAATAGTGCAATAACTAACAGATAATGTGAAAAAATTTCGAAATACTCATAAATATTTTAGTTGATAAGAGAGATCTTTTTAGATTAAAAAAATGACATGAAAGGTGTCTTTTATTATGAATAGCAATGAAATTTCAATGACAGACTGGAAAAAATATCGAACGGTCTCTCGTATCGTGAGAAGGATAATATATGTGAAAGAGAGGATCTTTTATTGGCTACATCGCAGCTAATGAAATTTTGATAGAAAATTGGAAGTAGTAGTGTGAACAAACGAATACTTGAGGGAATTGATTTTCTCCACAGCTTTTGTTCTGTTTACGCAATGAATCAAAAGTATCACTGCCAAGATTTATTGCTGTGACTTTATTATTTATTACTTTAAGAATTTTAGAGTACAAAATAAAAATGAAATTCACTACTACTCATATTTTTATTGGTGAAAGGTCATTCACTCGACTTAATGCCATTTCACTACGATATACTTTATGTTTGTAAATGAAATATAATCTTTCTACCTCACTCTTTTCCTCGATGCCTTTGTTCAACAATCGCATCATCTGATAGATTATTTTCGACATAATCGATGTATACTACGTCCATCGCTTTTACTCTATGTCACAGAGTTTAAAAGTTAAAGAAATGGATAAAAACGAAGTATACATATTTACACGCCATGGCTATCATGTATACGTACTACATAATACGTAGAAACAACAATAAATATGAATCACAGTAAATCGTAATTCTTTGTGTGTTTACACTTATTCATGGACTTACTTGGCCTAGATATTCATAAACAAACGTAGCTTATCGCTAGCAGCCATTCTAACTATATGCTTAATCATACCTAACATTCATTTCTACCAGAAATACAATAAAAACAATTATGGGTTAAAATAGAGTCCATGACTTTTATTTATATACAATCATAAATAGAATAAAAGTCACAAAATTCGTTACTATCGACACGTCATTTTCTTAATACATTCATCAGTTGGACTTCCTACCGCGTAACTTTCTCTTTCAATCAACAATTTGAATTCTGTGAATTTCAATAAACAGATGATGCACTCCATCGACAGCATAGTAGAATGCAGACTACCTTGGACAAAGATAGAAAAGCAATAATATAATGGCATAGTATAGTATGATATCCAACAGTGGTAATGATGCGTCGTAATTGGTTTGTTTACCTTTTGAGATAAAAGATGCACAAATATAGGAAAATTACAATTACAATTAGTTGTTATCAACAAAATCATGAGTAAAAATGAAAAATTCTTGCATGGACGATCGCGACTGTGAACAAATTTGATAGGAAACAAGGTTCGAATTTATCACAGGCGAGTCGAGTGTACGCTGAATATATTAACACGAATCAAGCTGGTTTTATCTAAAGTTAGATCGTTCAGCAGATAGAATTATTTTCAAATTCCTCGTATTTTCCTGCAGGAAATAACAATATTCTGCTGAATTACTATCGGTAAATTACAAAGCTGAAATCATCAGTCTGTATAATTAGTTACCTTAAGGAAATACTAGTATGATGTCACATTCACACCATCAAGCATAGGTTAATTGATCGTTCTAATGAAAAATCATGGAAGTCTACGATTTTGCAAATCCGGAAGTAGACAAACGACATGAATTTTAAGCGTTTCTTAAAAATATCTCGTTAGTTTCGAGTTACTTTAGAACTTCCACTGATCGTTTAGATAAATAATCTTTTATTATGAAGGATGGATCATTGACCAAATCAAAGACTGAGAATGTGTTTATTTGTTTTTTTCAAACCGACAATCACGTAGATAATAAAAAATTTTCGATTTCGGCTTACAAAAAGAGAAATTTTATTCTTCATTGAATATCTACTAATGGTTGATCGGAATGTAAACATTCGAAAGAATGCTTTACAAGTAATCATATGAAAATGTACATCGTTTAATTTATGAAAAATCAAGGACGTACGTGCAGTACTTATGTTACAATAAATTTTCAAAATTGCATCAATCTTGAAACCCCAGGGTCGAGTATTGCACATCTAAAATAATTTTTTTTTAATATAACGTAATGACACATAACGCATAATTCATAAGTGTCTACCTTATAGTTTTATTAAATGCATGTTGTTCGCCGATGAACTTATCCTTCTTTTCACCTACAAGATTTGTGTGTAGATCATGATAAAAGAAAACTTTCTTTTTTTGTTCTTTTCACGTCAGAAACTTTTCGAGTTCTATGTATTTATCATTAATTATATGTAGTAAATCTTAGTTTCGATAAATTATAATTTCCATAAATCCACCGCTGTCATCTGTAATGCAGATAGATGAACAAAGGCTTCATGTCTCATGCAATCATCAGGAATTTGAACGAGCTAAAAATATATTCTGTCACGTCACTGTTCTTAGTATTGTGTTGCGTACGGGAAAACATTTCAATGCAAACAGAATTTTACAAAGTTTTTTTTGTCATGCGACCAATCAATGCTTTTTATTTTATTTTATTTTTTTATTAAATCGATATGTTCTCAATTGACCTACAGCACAATCGTAATCATCAACACCTCATCGTCGGCAAGAATCAGTTGTTCAAAAAAGAAAAACAAACGCCTATAAACAAGTTGACTACACATAAATAGATATGTATATGTTTAAACAGATTTGTCTGTCATTCGTCAGAACTAACTGATACAAAAACAAGAACGAGAGAAAACGAAAAAAACATAAAACTATCTGATTTAAAAGAAAATTAAAAGAAACAAAATGTGTTATATGCATGGATCAATCTATATATTGAATATTTATAGAAATAAAAGAAACATAGAAAAATAAACTTTTTCTTATAATCAGATCTTAAATCGGTAAACACAAGAAAAACAAAGGAATTTGTCACCGAGATTAAAATTCTTTGCTGTTATACGAAGAAATATTTTCTTCTCGTTGCTAATGAAACTGTTCGATGTCGTAAACAAGTTTGACCGCATCTAAAACATGTTCAACTGTATATTTGGGTTTTTTAAGTTCAGGATCAATAATCATATCACGATGACCATGATTAATGCTTGATGTTTCATCATAGGCTTCTTGATTATATACACCTGTACATACAAGTATGGATTGAATATTTTCCGCTGAGTAATAATGTTCAGCATCATTAGCAACTAGTTCAACGGCATTCGAATGTGTCCATGCATTGGTATCAAGTATTCGTGTTGAATTCGCTGTTAAACTAACAGCTGCTGTTTGCGTAACAACTTGTTTTAGTTTCGATAAAGCTCGAGTTTGTAAATAACGATTGTACACATTTGCACCGAATATATCCGTATCGGGATTATCCTAGAAACGAGAGAAAAAGAAGTATTGATTTCTACGGACAAAAATTACGAAAAACTTACGCCAACGGCATAAATACGTTTTATTGGTTGTTTATAGCCAAGTTCATATGCATGCCGAGATATAAGATATTCAGCGTGGTAATATGTAATTTCACTTGGTTTACCAACGATGGCTGTATATTGCAAAGGATGACCAGAAATTTTCTTCAAACAGAAAATAGATTAAATTTATTTTTATTGTGCATCTATACGCAAAATTACTTTATATAAATTTTCCAAGCAATACATGAATGATCCATGTCCGAATCTATAAGAATAAAATAGTTTTCTAGATGGTTCGGAATGCGAGCTTTATATTTTTGCAGGTCATTTGGGATCATCGTGTGAAAGACATCGGATTCCTTCAGCTTCATTAACCAATAGACAAACATGTCAGGAAAACAATCTATCTATTTATTTCTGTATTTAGCATAGATTTTGTCTTATAGTATTATTCTAGTTAAGGTCTATCTCGAGATCTATTTACAATTCGCATGTTTATCATATAGCTACTATTAGATAATGCGTAGGATGTAGGCTTTTTTTCTGCGCCAATGTCATATCATATCTTAGAACATTTGTGCGATGTAGCTAATCGACAAGTGCCACATCTCACTTGAATTTATAAGTAACTATTTTCTCTCCCACTCATTCACGAGCCTCTACTATTTATTTTTCCTATGATCTAGGCTTTGGTCACCGCGACCCAAATTATAGTTCTACGTATCTATAACTAACACGTTTGATCTCTGACATATTGAATAAAAATAAATATCATGTCTCAATGACAAACAATTTATTATCATATAGCCCGGAAGTAAAACTGTCTGTTTACAGGAATTAATATAACTGTCTTAATAATTAATCATCATTGATTATACTCTAATATATTCTTAACACATAATTTGCATTAAGTATTCACGCCTTGAATAAACGGAAGCGAACATAATGAACAAAACAAAAACTTTAGTCAGTATCCTAATTTCGTATTCTTATCAGTTCGGACACATCTTCGATTTAATCAAGGAGAAAAGTTCGCGTAAACAGAAAGATTAATCAGGTATTACTGTTCTATCTATTTACCTGGGTAAAGCGGCTTCAGCCATCCATAGAAGATCAGCATTAGACGCTAGAATGGGTAGATGTGAAACCGGTGGACGAATAATAGGTGATGAAGGATTTCCATTGGTCATTAAAACATCGATAATTAATTGTAAACATGTTTCCCATCTAACTGGTTCACCAAATAATACAACAGCCTCAATAGGCAAAAAATAATCTCGAAATGGAGAATGCTGAAATAAAGAAAATTTAGTCAAAAAAACTAAATTTTAGAAATTAGATTTCATACAAATCCTCGTCGCTTCTTGTGATCGACCATATCAAGATTAGGAAAAGCATCACATAACTGTTCAATTGTAGTGACTTTAGTGAAACCTAAATTTTTCGCTATATCAGCTATGGGTCCTTGGCCACTAATTAAACAATGTTTCTTATGGAATTCACTATACATTTTCAATGGACTATGTGACATGATTACTTGTTCAGGTGAAACCTATAGAAAATAAATTGTCTTCAACAATAATTCATCGTTATTTTCTTCTTCTAAATAATCCTACTGGAATTCCGAGAATTTGTGAAAGTTTAGCTGCTTTTGATGAACGCAATTCATTACCAGCATTGGTAACAAATACTGTCGGAACACGAAATTGTCCCGATGTTGTAACAAGTTTACGAAATGCATCACGTGTATACGGTAGTAGTTTTCGTCCTCGTGTTAAAACACCATCAATATCAAAAAGAAGACCAAAATGTGGCTAAATAAAAAGAAAAAATGAGTTGTCAATGATTGTAATAAACACAAACCTCTTTTAAATTATAATTATTTGTGCTTAGATCAGCAAGGGAACGTTTCCAAAATGGAATTTTTAGCATTTGTCGACTGAATAGACATTTAACACAAGATATATTCATTGTAAAATCATTCAAGAATATTTTTCTATAGAAATTATCGAAAATAATAGAAATAAATGAATCAGTACGGATATTTTTCCTATTGTTTGGTTTTGAGATGTAGGTATACCATGACGTCACTTAGGCAATTCGTAAAATAATACGTCACACTCGATAAAAAAAAGAACAAGAAAAAAATGTGTTGACCAACGAGAAGGATGTATTTTTACTTCAGCACAATCATATAACGATAACGTAGGCGGAAGGTTATTGATTGGAGCTGATTGCTTCATTACTGTTTCTTAGTATAGTTATATTAATGTTTAGAAAATAAAGACTAAAAGTTACAGAATTTTATTATATAGAATATTTTTTAATGAGAAAAGGCTTCTTTAAAAAATATTTTAGCAATCGACCAGCAGCGCCATCTGGCCAGAACAATTGTACAAACGCGACAAGAGTTACGGAATGTTTGAATTGCAATTATTCATTCGAATTCGATTTACAGCAGAATCGATAATACTCTAGGATAGGGGTGTACAGCTCACGCTCATTTTGAAATGAGCGCGAATGAGCGATCGTAAGCATGAGGGTTTTCAGTTGTCAATAACCAAAGCTGTAGCTAATTTTACTTCTTTATAACTAGTGCTACGAACCTCAAAATCACTCGTACTCATTCAACCCCCATAGCTGGTTGTCACCGATGACCGCTCACGAAAATGAGCGTGAGCTGTACACCCCTACTCTAGGATGATCCAACATGGCTTGTTCTGTGTTTCTGTTTTGAGAAAAGCAGTGATATTGTAGTTTGGTATCAATCAATTAGATCAGGACTCGTATTACTTTAGTAATTGTCTTCATAAAGAAACGCATTTTACAATAAAATATAAAGCAAAACCAAACTTACATATATTATACAAAAAACAAAAAGAAATCTATTACTCGTACACCTATAGGATATTTAAGTATAAAACATTAGATATTACTCAAGACTAAGTATGCTCAGTTTTCACCGTCGTTCTTTCTTCCGTTTCATATTTATCATCATTATGTAATACCACATGTTCCGATGTTGGCGTGTCCGCCATAATGGGAGTTGATACACTTAGATAAGGCGTATCTGCTGCGGTTTCACTGGTTCTTGTACTAGTATTATTAATTGAAGTTTCGATTTGATTATTTAGAGAAATGTTTAGATCTATTTTTGTAAAAGAACTTCGATATAATTGTGGATTATCATTGAGTTTACGTTTTAAATCAGGTCCGCACAATTTTTGATGTGAATCCCAATCACGATGTTGACAATATTGACCACAATAACGAGCTATATTACAACCAGAACATGTTTCTATAGCTCGACGGGCACAATGCCAACATTGCTAAAGTATTCAGAAATAAAAATAAAAAGATCATTAAGATTATCTTTTACAAATTGTTACTTCTGGTCCATCTTCTTGTCGATTAAGTAAAGCATAGGCTTCTTCGAATGTTTGTGCTTTTAGTTCTTGATTCAATCGTTGATATTGTTCGCGTTCACGAAGTAAAATCTCATTGGATTTTTGTTCTGCTTGTGAAACAGCTTTCTGTAAGTCAACTATAGATTGGCGTTTTATTTCGAGAACAGCTTCTTCTAAAATATCAATCGAAAACAAATGACATGAAAAGCATATTTCACGAAGATTAGAATCAGCGGCTGAGGATGTAATCGATGATAACCTCTTCTAAGTCAAGATCTGTGCAGGGCACACACACTTTTCATTGCAGTCATACTGTAGAAAAAACAACATTTTGCAATTGTAATAATAATATTTGATAAGTTCTCGAAAAAAACGTTTTTGTTCCGGCGACATATGTCATATTCATACACTAAGACAAGAATGCTAGACATTATCATTGCAGCCACATGATACAACTTAATTTCTTACTGGTGGATTCGAAATAAAACAAGCAGTTACAATTAAAAAGAACTGAAAAATAAACTCTATTTTTGATATTCGATCAAAACTGTTTTCATAGGTTTGTCAAGGTGAAAGTTTAATTCTTAGTTAATAAATACGCACAGTACAATAATTTGTTTCAATGACGTTTCTTTCCTCATTCAAATATCAGTTCGAGTAGTTCACTGTGATTTGCGTTAAGTACTATAAGTATTACTGAAGTGAAACAGTAGCAACTGTGCTCTACATTTACGGATTGTAACTAAAAATAGTAACTATGCTCACTTGTTGAAGTACATCGGCGATTATTTTTAGGAAGTCAGAGTACTCATGAATTCGTTACCTTCAAGTAGATTTCTATAGAAATTAACTCTTGTATCGATTTTCCGAATTAAAACAGAGCTGAAATTTTCTCTAATTTTTGGTTGAACATCAATTTAAAACAGGTGATATCACACGAACCTGCTTTTCTTCGAACTTCAACAATACGATCTTCTGTTTGTGTTAGCATCTCAGCATGCCGCCGTCGCCATTCCAGATCATTGGTTTCAACAAGACGTCGAAGATGATTATCTTTCTGTTGTAACATGAATAAGACTCGTTTTGTTTTTGTAACCATTTCAAGAATACAGTTAAGCATCTGAAGCATTTAGCGGGCAAATACAAAATACGAATATTTTCTTTTCAAAAAATTAATTTTACATTTTCAGTATTTCTCCAATCGTCTTCCATTGCTTTTCCACTATTATCTTTTGTTTCCGGTCCGTGATCGCGAAGATCTTTAAAACGAAAGATTTCAATTGTATGAAAAACTACTCGTGTATTTACATGAAGTAAACGTTCGTTCTTTATCTCGAATATCACGTCGTATCGATGTTGATGATATTACATTTTTAGTCACAGTTGAAGAAACCAATGAACGAAGATTCGTCGCATTTGTATTATTATTATTATTTAAATTTGGCGCTGAACGTTTTCCTGAATACGATCGTTCGTCATGTTCATGTGCGCTAAAATTTTCAGTTAAAAGTAAATTTTAATCAAAAACTGAATAATTCATACTCGTCGGGAAGTTTTCGTTTTGTATTATCATTATTCATTTGTTCTTTCACAGGCGGAATCGATGGGCTCGCACTTCTTTCAAGTATATCGCGCGGTAACAAGATAAGTTCTTCGTGTTGTGCAAGATAGTGACTTGATGATTGTTTCGATTGACGGGCTAGTTGGGAAAGGTCGGATTGTAACAATGGTAATGTTGACTAAAATTTAATAAAAATGTCGCCGAAAACTTTCGATCGACTACGCTACAAGCAACAGGAGGTGTAAAAACTGTATCATTATTTTTACTACGAATAGTTCTATTCACTGAATATGATTATAAACAAATGAAAGCTACAACTCCGTAAGAAGATCATACTAAAAATATCGTCTGTTATTGTATTCAGGTTAACACGTTGGAATAACTAAATACGATTTTCATGCTACAACTGGTGCATCATTTTTCTTCTTAGAGTACAAAAAAAGCAGAAAAAAATGCAGCGCTGTCTCAAGCAACCGTTTTATATTGAATCGAATGCATCCATTATTCGTCATGGTTCTCAAAGTAACAGAACTTAATCAGATCAGAAGATAATCATACCTTTAAAAATGGCAATGCGAATGGTCTTAATGGAAAACTTGTTGCCACTTGTACTTTTCCATGAAATTCTTCAACTGATAGAGCATTATTCTAAATAAGAAAGAAATCATTGTATAAAAAATTCCGCATCGAGTTTACGAAACGAGATAAAATAGACATCATATGGCTTCGTTCTCATTTGAAAGTAAAACCCTGCATAGAAGTATCGATTATTCGAAACTTACGATTAAAGCTAAAATCAATGTTCGAACACGTTCTCCTATTTCATTTGATATATCCGATCCAAAATAATATAAAGTGCTAAAGAATCGTTTTAATTTATTCAATTGTCGTGATATCGCTTGCGGAGGAGAATTAGGACGAGTCTGCATTGATGCTTGCATATGGTTTGTGTTCGATGATGACGATGATGGTCCACTATTATTATTAGTTGCATTTAGCATAGACGTATTCATTGATGGTACGACCAATGTTGTCGTTGACGATGAAATCAAACTTTCGTTTGAATTAGTTGGCATCGGAGATCTGAAGAGAAAGAAAAATTTTGGGTGAACATGCAACAGATTGCACCATTTTATCTGCCAATATGGTGTCATGGCAGCATGCATATAGACAAAGACGAAATACAAGTAAGATGAAGAAGGGAAATAACAATATATGCACCAACCGTTTAACGCTTGTGCGCAGTAGCATTTGTCATCATCTTTCTTCTTTCTTCTTTCTCTTTTACTTTTAGTTAACTCCTCGTTATTAATAGCTTTCACTGAGCGCAAGCTGTCGCCAGTCACAAGGATAAAAAGATGCAATGAAGAGAGAAAATATCTAGGAAAAAAAGAAACATGTTTTTAAACCGTACCGGGAAACGATCTAGTTCTTGTTCGTTTTTTCGAACCAAAGCAAAAAAAAGTGCTTCTGCAATCAGTTAGGATAGAATATTCATCGATCGGAAAAATTAATCTATAATAATACGAATTCGTTTTTTTTTACTATCGAACTAGAGCCAGTAGAAATACATGCAGATTTTTGCCTCCACTATGAACGCATAAAACAAGAAAAAAAATCATAAACGAACTATCGCATGAAGATGTCTCGTTTTTTCGTGAGAGCCATGACCATCTGTTATGTATATCCTGATGATACAACAAGTAACGGACTGCGTTCGGTCTGACAGCTGATTTGATTCTCAAACTAAACATGCATGTATATATGTATAACAATTGCCAATTGAAAAAAAACCAAACAGATAGAAGAAAATAACAGAGACACAATATGTCTGTAGTGAAAGTAACTGTGCAGATTTGCACGTTAGCCAGAGAATTCCAGTGCGCCAAAGCGTAATGATATACAGATGATAGACATTTCACTGGCCTGCCAGATGGTTTGGATTATTTTTCTTGTCAAAAGAACGCAAAATAAAGGAGCATTGTTCTATGACCATCTGTTCATTAAAAAAGTGATCAAGGTTACGAAACAATATCATTCATTAGATATATAATATCCAACATTTATTTTCTTATGCAACAACTGCTTCCTGTTTATTTTAATAGCAAGACAACGATTTTTCTTATGTTAAAAGTGTTTGTTTTCTTCTTCTTCATTGTTGCCATGCTTACCCAATTATCAAACTAAGAATATCTCTAATCAGTAGTAACAACAAGTAGATAAATTGTTTGTTTTATGTCTATTCTTCATTTCTCTATGCATATACACATAAAAGTGTTATGTCGAGACTAATCTTTTCTCTTGTTGCTTTTTTTGCTTTTTGTTCAATTGATACAGAAGAAAGACACGCACTGAGCACACAATTGAAGCAATAACACACGCACACGAACAGTTTTAAAGAGAAGAAAATGAGAAATAAAGATCTATTTGGATGGACTAGAAAGCGCGAATAGGCATTGGTCTATTTGTTTTAAATGATACTTGTAAGACACGATTAGCAAGTGTAAAACCATTGAGCGAATTAATGGCCATTAATGCTTCATCATAATTAGACATTGTTACAAAACCAAAGCCTTTACATTTTTGTGTTTGAAAATCGCGTATTATTTTAACATTTTGTACAGCACCAAATGGTCCGAATAATTGCCATAGAATATTTTCGTCGGTCTCAGGTGCCAAATTATAAACAAATATACACCAACCAACAGATGCAATATCTTATTAGAAATCGGTTTCTTTTTGTTTTATACCAAGATATATTCATTAATACTTACCAGTCGATGGTGCTAATGTTGTAGTTGATACTGCTGCGGCAGCCGCAGGTAGATACGATGCAGTAGCAGCAGCAAAGAAATCAGCGGGAGATAATGGTGAATATCTATAAACATGCGGGTAGAAAAAGAAAGAAATATTTTATTAATCAAGTTTTACGATTGATTGTTACTGAGAATAAAAGACAACAAAACAACTAGACGCTATTACTACACTCACCGATATTTGGATCGTTCATGTGTTTCTCTGTGGAAAATAATACAAATAATATAAAATAAAAGAATATATATGGCAAAAGAAAAATACAGCAGAAAATTTAATTTCCCACAAAAATGAAATCAGTAAATCGAGCCGCATACCTGTACCTATTCATTTGTTGACGCATAGGTGGCGCTGTAGTAAGCACAGGCTGTTGTGATGCTGAAAGACCGGGTAAATAGGATGGTGCTAATGGTAAACCAATCATAGATTTGGCTGCATTGGGCGTATTAGCAAATTTAACAGTTATTGGTTCGGTAAAACCTAGAAAAGACAAAGACTTTGATCGGTAATAGCGCTAATAGTAAAATTAATTCTTTTGACATACCTTTTGGAATAGTACCATTAAGTTTACTAATAGCCATTTCAGCTTCTGATCGTTGATCAAAACGAATAAATCCTACACTTTTCGATGCACCTTTAAAGTAAAATTGAAAACAATCATTGATGACAAGAGAAATACGCTAAAACAAGACAAGACAGCTGAGCATTGACATTTCTCTTTCTCAGGGAATCTATTTGTAAACTTAACGGTGCACATAAAAATAAATAAAATAAAAAATAAAATTCTACCTGCTTTAGGGTTGCAAAGAATTTTCGACGAAATAATACAACCAAAATCAGCAAACAAACTCTCGAGCTCCTGCTGAGTCATCGAACGTGGGAGATTTGAAATGTAGAGGTTGGAGAATTTGATTGACTCCGAAGAAGGACGAGCAAAAGAAACCTGAAATAAATAAAATAACACAAAAACAAACAAACCAATAAAATAATATTTAAATAACTTATATAATAGAAGAACAAAACAATAAGCAGTGGGTTTTGTGTGTGAACACTTTGTTCTATTCTCGAATCCTTAACAGTGCGGCAAAATATTAGAACAAGAGAGCGTCAGAAAATAAACCTGTATTTGTATCTGTTAAAATTCGGCTCGTAATTATTTTGCCACATGAAGTAAAATAGACTTGAAGCTCTTTGTTTGTCCACTGTTTTGGAATACCGCATGTATATAAATTGGCAAATTTGATTGAGTCCGATGACGGACGCGCAAAAGATACCTGCAGTAAGATGTTCTTATCGTTCTCAATTTATAACAAAAATTTCGTATCTTATTTTGGTATCAAAAGGCAAGCACTGAGCGAATTGTTTTCAATAGAGAGAGAGAGAGAGAGAGAAAATTTTTGTTTTAAATTTTACGAAAATAGTAGTTAGATTATTTACTTTAATGGTTTTATTTTGTAATCGAAGACCATTCATGGTTGTCACTGCCTTTTCAGCATCTTCCAAACGAATAAAATTAACAAAACCATAACCAAGACTTTGGCCTAAAATGAAATCATTCGATTTCCTGCTTCATGAAAATCGAAATCTCACAAGAGGAATTCCTTACGATACGATCCTATGGGAAATGTACGGAGTATGCAACAAACTGAAATCGACTAAGAAGTATCCTCCGGACGATTTAGATCGGTGGCTTCAAGTTTATGAGACTGTAAAATTTGTCAGGATTGAATTCGAAAAATTGAATAATGAAGATTATCACAATCGAACAAACACTACCATAGAAAGAAATCGTCTCGATATTAGAATATTCAAAGGTCGTCCAGGTCTACATCATACATGTAGCTCCGATTGAAAACAATCAATCAATCAATCAGTTGGGGGAACTTCCGTTGTTCATAGTTCATATTCAAAATTTCAATCGGAAATGTAACAATGCTTCATAATTCAAACTAATAATCAATAATATTGAATATGAGCTATTGTCGCTAAACATCGTTACAAGTTGAACTAATCCCATTTCTAATAAGAATAAATTACCATATCGACTCCGTTTTTTTTTTGCTGCTGCGCTTGCTGCTGCATTAGCAATGATCTCTACTCGTCTGTCTATTGCGAACCAAAAATAAACGCGTACCTGTTGTTTTATCTCGTACAAGCTTACACGATTCAACGGCACCAATTGAACCAAATAGATCTTTAATTTCATCTTGTGTCATAGTTTGTGGTAAATAATTAATAATTAGATTTGTACGGGCTTTATCGGAAAAATTCGAATCATCATCAGTAAAATTTCCACCAACAATCGATCGTGTTTCACTGCCGTTGCCTTGTTGTCGATTGAATGCAGCCATTTCACTATAGTATTCGTCGTCGTATTCGAGTTGATCGTCAACTACTATTTGTTGATTTTCAATGGATGTTGTTGTTTGCTGGGATGATAAAGAAACGGAAGGGTTTGGAGCCAAGACCTATTTCAATATAGATACAAAACAAAGAGTGCATTTATTAAATATTTAAAAACGTTAAAGTAAATAAATTTTTTAGCTGATATTTGTACCTTATAAACGTACCAGGAACCGATCATCGTGTTGACTGTACGACAATAATAAGAATAGAGAAAAAGATTGACGACCGGAACCGGCTGGTGCCATGCCGAGCTGACGCCCTTGTCTCTTTTTTTCCTTTAATTCTCATTTATGGCGATTCTCTTCCTTCTTTTTCTCTTTCTTTTTCGTATATTCGATAGTTTAAAATAAAATAAAAATTTTATCAATGAAAATATTGAGTAAGAAAAAACAGCTTATTGATTACAATCGATTTTTTATTAATGACTACTATGGTTAATATGTATATGCCCTTTCTTTCTAGCTGTCTTCTTTCTGTTGGAAGAAAAAGAACATGATAAAGTAGGAGTACTAGTTGATTTGCATAAATCCTATTAGACACTTGCTCATCCATAATAAGAAGAGGAAACAAATCAGTTCATCGGACGACAAGTTTGTTGATCAATGCTCGACCGAGAGAAAGACGACAGGAAACAGATATTTCGTTTATATTTTGCTTCACATTTGTGACGTTATCGTTATTCTTCTTCTTTTTTTTTGGTGCCAGAGAAAGAGAAAAGAACTGAACACACACACACACACACACACTACTATACCCAAAATGATTAGCATTTGTCCGTCGAACTTTCTATTTAGTACTAACAGTCGGCTCATTGACTTCAGCTGTTTTTCTTTGGGCAATATATACATTAATTTTGATCATCTCAATATTCTGTCTTATTCTTTATGTCACTAGTAATAGTTGTTTCTTCCATCTGAGTGAAAGTTACAAGGAAACACAAATGTCTGCTAGCCGTACATTATCACACATAGTTTCTTTATTATTTTGACACGTTGTTCTATAATTAAATCAAAATGGTATGATTTTTTTCTCCTTCTCAAATTGAATAATAAAATAAAATAAAATAATAAATTCAATTACCTGAAGCATTCTCATTTCTTAAGCTAAGCCAAGAATAGTACTTGCAATACGTAACAACAAATAAATGATAGAAAAAGAACGATGATGACAAGAAGAAAAAGCAGTACAACAAGACTGATTTCTCGATAAACGCATTGATCATGCGTCCTTCAGTGGCACTACTTCTCTCTTTCTCCGTGTTATACTAATATGGCTGTCGTTGACGATAGTGTTCTTGCTTTTGTACAGGACATGTTGTATCGATAATGTGCGATAAATAAGATAGAGAGAGAGATATATATAGCAATAGCGATGACAGAAACATAGTAATCATAATAACAATTTAGATGATGGAAAGATCAATTGATGGAAAAGAACATGGCATTGTCAAGCAAGTAACAACATGATCATTAATACATCCAAGAAAAAACAAATAGAAAATGATCTACAAGCAAAAAATAGAACAGCGAATCATTTTGATTTCATCGATGATTAATAAACGATGAAATATGCTAAATAGCTATTTTAAAAGGTATCTACACACCCACCATGATCAATATCCATTTAGTAACAAAAAGAAAAACTCGTATATGGATGGTAAGAAATCAAATGTACATTAAAACAAAATTGAAACCATCTGGTGTCACACACACACACACACACATATATATATATATATATACGTATATTCTTTTCTTCTATTTTATATTGAATAAAGATTATAAACATACTTTATGACTTGTGTAACAATGTTGACTTTCTAATGAATGTTCAAACAGAATTTGAATAGAACCTATAAAATACAATAATAATCTCATTAGATTGCATATACATATATTTCTCTTAAGACCTTGTTTCTCTTCGTTACAAAAATCTATTGGCAATGAACGCGCCACTTCAATGTGTTCAAAACTAATAATATCATTAGACGGCAAATTCTCATCGTAGTGTTTCTAGTATTTTTTTTACTGTATTAAAATACTAATAGCTGGATAGGAAAAAATTTTGATTCGATTTTTTTGTACACTCTATTTCTTTCTCATTATAGATAAGGCAGAAAATCAACTTACTGTATGATTAGATATTAATGTTCTTATTGTCTAATGAAATGAATACTAACTGTCATAAATTCGTTTTCTATGTCTCGTTTTTTCTTTTCGCGCAACCGACAAACCATAAACACGTGCCGATATGTATATGCTGTAGTCCACCTATCAATGTCGTCGATGAAGAAGAACAAGACTTAGAAACAAAGATCAGTTGAATGAATGCATTCAAGAATAAATCACCAGGTGGTATAGCATTTTCCTGTATAAACGACAAAAGACTAATGATTACATCGATAGAACACCTGTAAAAATAAGCAAATCAATTTCGAAGATTTCTGCGATCACAAAACCAAATATTCGATTGAAAAACATCTTAAAACAAGGTCAAATTGTACTTCGTAATTAGTCTATATCTTTCTCTTGTGGTTAGCAGTATAATATTACATCTAAATCATAGTGTTCGACACTGTATAAATGCCATTAGGGAACAATATTTGTCACTATTTCAATGACATTCGGATCTTTATAGTTGTCAAAGATTATCAAGTATTATTAATATGAATAATTCAGCATGAAAATTCACAAGTCATTGAATAGAATAGATTTTTGGTTGAAATTCTATTAGAAAACTCTCATATTGAATATGTTGATCAATTTTGGCATTTTTCCTTTGATAGAGGTCGTTTGTTACCAGTAAAATTTTACTATTTTTGGCTAATACAAAACAAAAAATCGTTATCAAACTCGTTTAAATTCACATATCATCTTGATTGATTGTTTTGTTTTCACAATATCTATTCATTTATTTATAAATTCAACGAATGAAGGCATTTTATATTATCTAATGGCATTGAGAGATACGATGAGTCATGACCAAATCAAATTCTTCTCATCCTTCATAATCATGACTTCCTAAAATAGTATATTTTTGACTACAGAAGATTTCTTATCATGTTCTTTCATGTGCCATGGTAGCCGCTTATCATAGGGTATACTTTTAAATTCGCCATACAAAAAAAACAATGAACAGTAACTATAAGCCATCCTATGATTTTCTATCATCATCAAGTCCGCGTGACGAATATGAACTTATACAACGTATTGGTTCAGGAACATATGGAGATGTTTATAAGGTTTGTTTGTCAATAGAAAATACAGTTTTTGTTTTTCAATAAGAATTTGATTTCTCCTATTAGGCGAGACATATTCCGACGGCATTGATGCGTGCATTGAAAATAATTAAACTTGAGCCAGGCGATGATTTGAATATCATACAACAAGAAATTCTTATGATGATCGAATGCAGTCATCCAAATATTATAGCTTATTATGGCAGTTATTTAAAGTATAACTAAAAATTAATTTCATTAATGAATGTATAAAAAATTTTCTTGATCTACTAGACGAGATAAATTATGGATTGCTATGGAATTATGTTCCGGTGGATCGATGCAAGATATTTATCATGGTTAGTTAAAAATGAATTAGTAAATGTTTTTGATTGTTTACCTGTTCTCTATTAGTATATGGACCACTTAATGAAGTACAAATAGCTTATATACTCAAAGAGACTCTCAAAGGATTAGATTATCTTCATCGAACGAAAAAAATGCATCGAGATGTTAAAGTAAAATTTTTTGTTTAAACCTGAAAAAGTAAACGGTTGTTTGCGTTTTTTAAAAATTAAACAGGGTGCTAACATCTTATTAACTGACGATGGAAATGTCAAACTAGGTAAATATTTTGCTATATATTTCGTACTTGAGCTTCTATGATGAAATACGATATGCAATAAGTGTTGAAGGATAGAGAATCAATCACATATGTTATGATATTGAACTTCTCTCTGATCTTCAAAGGAATTTCAAAGAATTCCTGAGCAATGACGAATGAAATGTTAGCGATAAGAAATTGAAATAAACAATAGAATGCGTGATACTATTTATCAGCTTTCGAGTGCTTCAACGAGGGTAGAACCATTCACATTTCTTTTTATGTATGTAATTAAGCTGATTTTGGTGTCGCAGCAAGTATAACAGCAACTTTGTGCAAACGAAAATCATTTATTGGTACACCTTATTGGTATGAGAATATCGTAGGCTATGATTTGTTAGTTATTGATTCGATTTAAAATTTTAGGATGGCACCGGAAGTTGCCGCTGTTGAACGTAAAGGTGGTTATAATCATTTATGTGATATATGGGCTGTTGGTATTACCGCGATTGAATTCGCTGAACTACAACCACCGATGTTCGATTTACATCCCATGCGTGCACTTTTCCTAATGTCAAAATCAGGTTTTAAACCGCCAACATTGAAAGATAAATCAAAATGGTCGATAACATTTCAAAATTTTGTTAAATATACACTAACGAAAAATCCTAAGAAAAGACCATCGGCTGAAAAATTACTTGATGTAAATCAATGAATAAAGATATATTTTTAAGATGAAAAATGTTGCATTTTGTTTTAGCATCCGTTTCTTCAAGGACATTTAACAGCACAAATCGCACGAGATCTATTGGATAGAATACACAATGGATCGATGAATAACACGTCAACTGAAGATCGAGACGACGACGATGATGATAGAGTAAAACCAATTTTTAAATATCAGTATTATTATTAATTTTCTTTTGATTATATCAGAGTATTTTTCAAGCGCCCAGTAAAATTACATCAACTAGAGAAGCATCCGGAGTAACATCATCAAGTAAGATAAAACACAATTACTAGAAAACATCTCCCTCTTGAGTCAGTCTTTTATCTGTATCAAATGGATATTAGTTTATCACTGCAAAATATATTTCAGAGCTTTACAAGAATTCTTTATGTTTCCGCACTATCTTGTTGATATTCTAAGATTGAATCATTTTAGATAGTCGTCCGCTTGTTGGGAATTTCAATCAACCATCAATAATCCGTAGTTCAATACTCAACGATTCGCTTCTAGAAAATATTCATGATCAAGTAGAATATAGAATTGTAAATGTTTCAGAAAATTTTCATTTTCATATTTAGCATTCTCAGTCAACTGCTCAATACCCACCAAAGAATACAGATAATGAAAATGCCGAACATCTCGAACGATTAAAATCATTAGGCTTATCGGAAGAAGATATAAATGTAAAAGAATCATTTGCATCTCGATTTTTCAACAATAATTTTTGTTTTAGCAATTAATGAAAACGTTGCCTTTAAGTGCATTTGAAAATTTAGCTTTAAATGAAATTCAACATATCGTCGATGTCATGCGTGAAGCTGATATTGAAGAAAATGATGAAAGCTCTAATAATGGTACAATCAGACGAGCTCCAGAATCAAAATCTAACGACAACGAACAACAAGAAATCCCATTCGACAGCAGTATTGATACAAATAATAACACTTTAGAACGAAATCATCTTTATGAAAACATATCAGAAAATCCCAATGATAATTATAGTACACTGAAAATAAAACAAGATCGATCTATATCACCATGTCATGGCATTCCAAGTGTACCTCGAGTTCATATGGGCGCTGGTTTTATGAAGATATTTAATCAATGTCCATTAGAAATCTATGCTAGTTATTGTTGGGTGAACAGTGAAACAAAAGGTAGGCTCGAATAGTCCTGCGAACCCATGAATTTATTCAGACATGAGAGAAAAAATGATCCCCTAAAACAAGATTAGATTGATAATAACAGTGGCGATGTTAACGAAGCGAATGAACTCATTATAGACACGTCAGTCATATGTATTAGGGAAGCGCAACAAAGGTTAACCTTAAGCAAACAATAGGGCATACATATGTCAAAGGAGAAATGAATTCAATGATAAACGTAATAATAGAAAAGAGATCTGGAGTATAATTTTCAAAGATCACTTGTCTTAATTACATGTTCCTAATTTATGTTTTTAATAGACGAATTCGTGTTAATAGCAGCTGAAGAAGGCATTTATTCATTGAATCTCAATGAACTACATGATGCTACATTAGAATTGGTAAATTTGCTTTTTCTTTTATGATTAGTATCGTTCGGTTTTAGTTATATCCTAGACGAACGACTTGGTTATTTGTTAATGATAATATTCTTTGGTCAATATCAGGTATTGTCAAAAACAAAAATTCGCACGGAAACGAAAATATTATTCTATTTATAATAGGCAAATCGAGTAGTCTATATCGACATGATCTTCCTTTATTAATGCAAACTAAAAGTACATCTCGATTATCTTTACCATTAAATAAATTTCAAATTCACGGAAAATTTGAAAAATTAATACCAAAGTAAAATCATTGAGTTATGAAATGTTTGCTTATTGTTTTGTTTAGAAAATCGGCAGCATCTGTTAAAATAAATAATACTCGTGGATGTATTCGTTGTTGTGTTGGCCGAAATCAATACACCGGATTTATTTTTCTAGCTGGAATGTTACCTCATGAAATATTTCTTATGCAATACTATGATCCATTGAGAAAGTTTATGATTTTAAAAGTAGGAATTTTTTATTTTCGATCATTGGTTGTGTTATGCCGTCGCTATTTGTTTTTCAGACTGTTCCAATTTCAATCCCTTTTGAACCAAAAGTTTTTCAAATGATTTTTTCACCAGAAAATCAATATGCTTACATATGTATGGGCGTTAGTAAAAGGTAAAAAGATTTATTTGATGTTATTTCTTTTACGTTGATGTATTTAGTAAATCGCCGCCGGATTCATTTAAATTTGCTGTAATTAATTTTGAAACTGAAAAGGTGGAAAATTATGAGGATGGTATGTTGAATTATATTTATTATTCAGAAAATTTCCCATCCGATATATTGAGTCCTGAGTCGGTGCATGTGAATAATGCAATTGTTTTGTTGTTCTTCACGGCATTCTAAACTAGTTATCGAAATGTGTGATTATTAAATTTTTAGTGCCTTTGGTTTCTAATGTTTCTCAAGTGAAACAACATGAAAAAGATGCGGATACAGTACTCATTTGTCAAGACAGTAAGTTAAACAATTCATAGACAATTTATTCGCATACATATTTGTTTAGATCATATTAATATTATTAATACTCAAGGAAAACCTCAGAAAAATAGAAAAATACTATCGGAACTTAATTTTGGTTATGAAATTCAATCGTTAGGTAAAATAAACTGATTGCTGTTATTACTCGTCTATTATTTCCGTTGTTTAAGTTTGCCTACAAGATAGTGTCCTTGCATTTCATCAACACGGAATGCAAGGTAGAAGTTTAAAAGATAACGAAATAACACAAGAAATCTATGATCATACTCGATCATTTCGAGTGATTGGCAATGATCGGTAAATATATACAGAAAAGTTCAGCGATTGTTTTATTATAAATATTTCGTTTGTTTATAGATTGGTTGTCTTGCAGAGCCGTCCGTTGAATCAATTACAATTATATGGTGCTTTAAATACAATACCATCCGATTTACATATTTTAATGGGCCATGAAAATACATAATATTATACTTAATATATGCATATTTATATACATAACTAGCCGGTATTATTAAAAGCAAATATTTAATTTTTTTTTTGTTAAAGTCAACTTGGTCTTTTTTTATATACATATAATAGTGTTTTGTGAAAAAGAAAAATATTCTTTGCCTCAATTATTTATTAATGCGTGTTTTCAGTGTCAGATTTTTTTTTACTCCCTTATTCTTCTTTTATATATTTAAGGACAGTGTGCAATATGTGAGTTTAATAGGTGCCCGCTATTTCTTATATACATTTGCGTGCGTGTGAAGTGTGTAATATTTGCGTACGAATAACATTACATGACTTTTCGTTTTTCTTCTCGTCTTTTTGTTTGACATAACTGATGTGTAATTAGAGAAACGAAACGAAACGAAGAGACTAGTTATTATTAGAATGATTGGTTGAAAAAGAATTCATTTGTAAGACGATATATTGCTTCAATAAAATTTGATCAGGTTGTCATTATTGATAAGTGAACTAAATGCGATTTTAGATTGATTTGCGGATAAATCTGAATGTGGTTAACGGAATTTCGAGTATAATGTAAAAGAAAACCTTTTCAACTCATTGCCGCACACAAGACTGATAAAGAGGATTGGAATTTGAACTTGACTCATCATAAAAGTTTATTATTTTCGAAATTTATATTTTATGATTTAATTGTCGTTGATACAGTTCATAATGCCCGATTAAAAATATTTATCAGATAAAAATAAAGCAATTCATTTCAAGAGCAAGCCGTTAAATGATTGTTTTTAGTCATTTTTATGCACCTAACGCAAGCCAAGATAAAAAGCTTGTTGGTGTATATAAGAGGGCGACGAACAATGTCATTTTCGTTAAAACCAATCGATTGAAAACAAAGTCATGAAATTTCTTTCAGTACTCATTTTCGCTTTACTATTGATCATCCATGTCAATAGTCAACCTATTGATGAAAGTAATGATGAAGAATTCGCTCAACGAATGAAGTCGGCTCGTGCTCTTGCCGACTGTAAAAATTGGCACGGCAAGGAACCTGAGGCAAGTGTCCATTTGGCCAAAATATTATCAGCACCATGCAGTATACCACCCACATTTCCACCAAATTTAAAGGATGGATGGACGACAGATCCAGGATGCGATGCTAAGAAGCAACCAAATACATGTTCTTACCATGTAGGTGCTTGGGGTTGCTATCGACACTCGTTCAAAAACACAGGACCCGGTGCACAAGCCTGCTATGACAGAAAGGGCAATTGGCTTTCCGATACATGGCAAGGTGCTGGAACGCTCGATGCCGAAACAGCATTGGGTTCAATTTTTCAACAGCTGAGACATTACACTGCTGATGTTGTACCGTATGACAATTGTTGCAAGAGTTCTGGATTACCACAGCCCAGCACATGCAATTTATACTTCGAAAAGCGACCAACAGGCATTTGTGAAATAAAACCAGCCGTCTAGGTCTATGTTTCAATGGCTTAGTAAATTTAAAAAACGAATAAAATGAAGTGATATCACAATCTTGTGTTTGTGTCTCTCATGAGTTGATCTTTAGAGTTTATTTTTATTCAGATAAATGAAATATCAATAACAAAAAATCAAGCTGATAAATGAATTTTGATTTACAGTATTGTAAAAATATTTTAATTTCAATGAATAGCTGTTGGAACAACAACACTGTGCAGATCAGATCGAATTCCTTGGTTTTGAAAGATTCCCTCAGCAATTTGTTGAAATACAGCCATCACTTCTGTTTGGTGTGCATTGATATAGCTTATTCGTTTGTGTGCCGGTACAGTCGATAGAATTTTCATCATAAGCCACAATAAACGCCAATTGCGAAGCGACATGTGTTTGTACTTGCGCATGCACTGCCCCACAAATGCATGTGCCATTACTACTGAATCACCTTCAGCCAAACAACTTGCGTAACAGCTAGCATGACTTTCGGTCATACGTGTATGTGCCAATAACGATTCTGCACCGAAGAGTTCACGACATTTGGCGACGATATTTCGACATAAAGGTGGAATGTAAGCTTTGATCAAAAGGATTTCATCGATGTGCCGCTCTAACAGTTCTTCAATATCGACACTGGTAGATGGGTCGATTTTGAAGCGTTTTATAAACCGATGAAAGTAGTAATCCATTTCACAGATCTGTTGTTGCATCAATTGCAGATGATCGGTAATATAAGAGAATTGGCTTCGTTTGCTATTATAGACTTTTTTTCTGACAAGTTGTAGCACCATTTTGGCACATACGATGGCAGTAGCTGATAAACAAAGTCGACCAACCAGTAGTCGATTGGATAGTTTGAAGAAAAGTTTTGGATAGCAATCGTCAACTTGAAGAGTTCCAGTTTTCGTATCCAGCGAACAATATCGATTGAGTAAATTTTCAGGTTCAGTACTAAATTCGGTGAAGGTAAGGCTACCGAAAGAGTTCGAACGAAAATCACTACGAGTATAACATTCTTCAATGCGTACACCAGGAAGAACGGCACCATTGTTACGAATTTTTACGACAATGGCGACCACGTGTGGTGTCAGAAATAATTTACCAATACTGGTGTTTACGGATACTTGTTTACTGTCATTGCTAACGTTAGTCTGAGCCCACTTTGCAAACACTACCGCATATTCAATATCATTATTGCCAGCATATGATATCCAGCATTTTTTAGCATCGTCGGTTGGAGTATGAATCATAATTTTCTCTGCATCTTGATTGTAATATGCGATAGTATCACATAGTAAACCCGATAATACACCAGCATTCTTTTCCGTTAATGCAAAACAGCCCAGTTTCTTCAATTCTCTTGCATCTTGAACTAATGCCGCATGTGTATCAGTACCTAATGCTGATATAGAGCCTGTAAATAAATTGAACTGAACGGTAAACCAATTTACTAAATCGTTGCTATTTGTATAAGCTAAACGTTCATGAAGATCTATAAGATTATAAGGATCCAGCGATGTTAACGCTCGTTGCGCATGAAGCGTAGCTACCACCATTCGCAATTGTTCTAATACTGTAGTAGTATCGCTCGGGTAAACATAGCCACCATCATTATTGCCAGGCTGTTGAGGTTTAGTGTAAAAGTCGACCGGAAGAAGAGAAGCATAAGCATTTGACTGCGAGTCGAGTGAACAAACATAAAGACGTTTCGGACGATAGCGTCTGACAAGAGTAGTAATAACGAAATAGAGAACGAGTGGCAGCGTTATGAAAGACAGTAGTTGAGTAAAAGTATCCATAGTGATGAATGCAAAATTTTGACACAATAAATTGTCTATTGATAAAAAGAATAAAAGTAAGAGTAGAATAAGTTTTGTAAATGTTATACGAATGTTAAAAAATTATTCTCTGATGTTGTTGACGAATATTTTCTAGATAAAAGCTGTCTCTGTGAATATCTGTCTTTTTTCTCTCGTTTGATTTCGTTTTGAGAATAACTAGCCAATATAAACTTTACGCTGTTATCACAAAATATTCGAAAAGTACAGAATTATATTTAGAGCATATCATTACTTGTCACGATGTTCTTTCTATTAATGGCTTACACAGAACTTTGCGTATGAAAATATAAAGATTATTTGGTGTATCTCGCTCTTCTAAGTAAGCTTGAAATTATATCTGAAAGATAATCAATGAGTTGTACAGATGTTCTTCTTTTTCTTTTCTGACAAGGAAAAGAAGTTCACAATGAACATGAAAATATCCGTTCAATGGTTAGAAAATTAAAACTACTCGTAAGCAAGTAAAAAAAGAGAAAATTGTTTAATTATGAGCTGTATTTTTTCCATTGAACCTTTTTACTGGGGACAGTCATTATCATATGTACATATCCCCTATACATTGTTTTCCTGTTTAAAGATGTCTCACTCTGCCAAGGACATTTTACCTTTTCTTTGTAAATAAATTTCCTTTCTAGAAAAAAAAGATTTAGCTTTGGTTTCGTTCTATATGTCGAACACACGTCATGTTCTCATTATTATTAGTTTTTTATATTTATCTACAAATGACCTTCCGTACTAGTACTGATTTACATTCACTCCATTCAAATAATTGACTGTGTCAAGTTTTGCTTTTGAAAATTGAGGAAAAAGAAGAGCTGCTAGACAACAAAGTTCATCCTCAATCGATTGCTTATCAGAAATTTTCTCTATAAAAGAAAAGCATCAAATCCAATTTTTACAAGCACATGCTGATAATCTATATTCATTAAAAAACGGCTTAGCATTGCCGTTAAACAACAGCTAGACAAGGACACAACTTATCTGCTTGTGTTAATTGAAGAAGAGATTAAAAATAGTAAACACAGTACTATCTACCATTGCCATAAGTTCATCTAATCTTTCTCTCTCTGTTTTTACTCTGATAGAAAGAAAAAAAAACAGAACCCAATCACCTGTGGGAGATAAAAACAATCGAGCAGAGCACTTGTTGACCTGTGATACAGTGTTCGATCATTATTCACCACTGTTATAGTGGAAAACGTATGAAGTAAGAAGTCCGCCTAAATCTATTAATCAAAGCTCCATGGGATGAATATACCAACGAAGTAATCTGTTATTGATTTTAGAAAAATGTCAGATTTGACTTGAAAATTATATTTCGTTAGTGTCTTATCAATACTCGACAATTAAGATCTGACTCTCTTTAATACTAATCCATATTTTGAACAATTATGTGGAATTTGTTTTTGCAAAGTCTATTCGATAAACAAGTTAAAGTAGGAAGAGTTGTTTTGTTTGACATTGCTTGGATTTTACCAATGTAGTTGCATTGATGCGATTGCTGCAGATAGTTCTTGTTTGCTGTTATATTATCGTTGAAATATGGTTTTCTTCTCTTTTTTTGTGTCTTAAAGAAATACTTCGACTTGATGATCAAGACAAACATTCAGAGCAAAAAAAAGTAAAATCAACAACTGTTTTGCATGATATCAATCTTCGTGCTCCAAGAGGAACAATGTATGATATTTAATTTAAAAATTCAAGATAAAATACTGAATAATAATAAAATATAGATATGGTTCATTGCGCGTCTATCCGGATATGGAGAAACAACACTTTTACGTTGTATAGTTGGGCGTTTAGTATTACATCGAGGTGAAATTCTTGTATTTTTGGAAAACCGCCAGGTGGTCGTAGACATGAAATTTCAGAGCGTTTCATTGGTTTTATGTCACAGGAAACAGCGCTTTATAAAAATTTTACAATATCAGAAATGCTTCATCATTTCGGTCGTCTTCATAATATGAATCGCAAAGATATTTTAGTTCGAGAAGAATTTCTTATTTCATTTCTTGATTTACCTGCAAAATCAAAACATGTTTCACAATTAAGGTTTAATTTAATATTTATTTTAATTAAATAATCACAGTATTGTTTGTTTTATTTTCATGGTTTTCATATAGTGCAGGGTTACCCAATACCCTGATATCGTGGTGGCCCACAACGCCGTGTATCATTAGTGTGTGCTCTTCTTCAACAAAAAATTTTCATTTTTTGATTTAAAATGATAAAAGTTAAACATAAAGTGTTTCAGGCCATAGAAAGCAGTCTCTTTTTCATTAATCTCTTTTCATCAAAGGTCATTATAGAACTGCCAGTAAATAATATTTGCATTAAAACAAGCAAAATCCAAGATATGCCAGTTATTGTTTGTAGTGTACTCTAACGAACTTTTAATAAAAGATTAACATCAGTAGTGACAAGATTCTGCTTCTACACGATGGAGTAAAATTTAAAAATACGATTCGAGTGATCATAATATAATTCAAGTATGCTACGAGAGTATAGTGGTCAACTTTAATGATCAATTTAGATAAAAAAAACTCGGTCATAATCGTTCTCTCGACGAGAATTTTACAATTATTATGTTTTCAAAAAGAATGTCGAGTTTAGTTAAAAATAAAATAAAATGGAACATAATTATAAACTCGTATACTGTTCATGAATTCTAATCAGCAGATTATGTGATAAGAACTGATATTTTTATCAAAATTTATGTTTAAATAAATGAGGAAACATTGGATTCGCATCCGATTGTTGTATACTGCGAAAACTGAGTCGATTTATATATGTTGTGAATAATTCTAAGAAAAAAATCCCTGTACTCCCCCTCAGGGATGGTCTGGTCACTAATGACAATTTTTTCGGTAACTCAGTCATTTCTTAATGGATCCTTCTCATGTTCGAGCTCGATTGAGATATTAATGAGATCATTCTGTGTACAAAATTTCGTGACAATTGGATGAAACTTTCAAGAGTTATCGTGTTAACGGTCGGACGGACACACTGACCGAATCTAGAGTGCACTCACTTTTTTTAAGTACACAAAAAAAAAACGAATCAAGTACAACCGCATTAATCACTTTACAACGAGCTACGATGGTCATACTGAAAAGTTTCGAAATCAAATTGCTATTTGTCCATCGGAATTACCTGTCATTGTTTAATGATCTACCAATGTGAATATAATATTGATAATAGCACGTACAATATTAATCTCAGACTACATAATAAATATCTATTTTTGAATGTATTATGAAATAAATTAATAATTAGTTTTACTCGAGACTAAACATGTTATCTTTCGTCTATTCCTTTTTTAATTTCCATGATAAACATGCTGTCTGAAGCTGCATAGACAACATTATATATAATTGCACTTGATCAAAGAAATCTCCATATGAACATTGATAAAAAAAACAACAGAATAGGTAATTCTATGAATGATAATTGAAGCTACAAAATAAAACAAAATATAAAATTTAGAAAGATAAACAATAATGAAGAAGATGATCGGTTATCTACTATATCTTTAAATTATTTATCTATTTTGTATTTATCTAATTTTATTCGTCACACTAAACATCATCTATCTTAAGAGGGTGGGTAAAATAAGGCGTCTCACACCTCACATTCACCTCTACCTAAACCCCCGAGTTCTATCTCTGATCTATGCTGAAATATTTCTACAATCATAAACTAGGTCTAAGATTTTCCTAAATGTCGATCATTTCTATAAAGTAACCCATATCGCAAATACCGGATCATTTTTAGCGGTAAATTCCATTGTTAGAAGCAGGTAGCCGGACCAGTAAAACCGTCGTTTTTTATCATGTGGAAAGAGTTTTCGACCTATTCTATGTCTTTCAAGTTGATTTGTTGAAGTTTTCAAAAGAAATGATTCGGACTTTTTGTTTAATGACTAACATTTGGAAAAAACCTGATTCATTTTCACGCGCAGAATAGACTGAAAATATCATCATGCTTGTTCAACCTCAACAAATCAATCTTCATGCTAAATAAGTGCATTCGAAAGCACTTATACACAGTCAAATTAAGTACATTTAACACAAATCAATAGTATTCTTAAAATTCAATTTCAACATCGTGGTTATTTTTTGAACTAAATTAGCAGTATGTAAGAATTTTATTAGTCTTTAGCTTTTTATGTGTCACAAAATTCTTTATGACAACTAGTTTGCTCTCAGTTTTCACAGTAAAGTCTTCTGTTGCCTTTGTTCTCGCTCAAGAACTGAATGACAAATTTATATCTATGAACATTTATAGAAATAATTGTGGGAAGGAAATCTAGAATTTGTAGCATTTATTGAAACTAGATACACTGCTATCATTCTAGGGCGGTAGCAAAGAGGCGGTCAGGTACGAGAAAGTAGAACACATGCCAATGTGTACTATAGAAATATTCGGAATATCAATTAATTGATGGTGAAAGAAAAATTTCGCGCTCCTTCAATATCGTTCCAACTTTTGTGAAATACAAACATGATATCAGTTTTACGGTTATTCATCAAAACCGAGGGATGTCATAATATCCACAACTTGGGTATCGAGATGAATACCCAGATAGGATACCCAGCTGGATGGACATCTACGTATCCTCAGAGCTGAGGAATTTGAGTGCATTTGGTGTAACGAACTTGGGTACCGGAAATTTTCCTACTGTCAGGTCCTACTTCAAACAAATTAATATAAGCCACAATTTAAATAACATGCATGTGACGATCCCCAACAACACCAACTACGCAGCATGCTACAGTTTCAACCCAAGTCCTGTGGGTGATTTTGATGAAAGTCGTAATAAATTGTTATGAGGTAAAAATGAAGTTCTTCAACGGACATTTACTTGGAATTGCACGCTATCTGCAATGCTCATTAAACAAATCTGTACATATCGATAAACATTGGCATAAAGCTGACTACATGAATACAATAAATTT